GGCCTGACAAACTAAACACAACATAAAAGCAAAGTGGAAATAAAAACTACATTCAACCACCAACATAAAAGCAAAGTGGAAATAAAAACTACATTCAACCAAAAAAGTACAGATTATGAAGTCTGTATACTATACTGCCATCAATAATCGCTAAACTTGGATAGAGAGGACGGGCACATAGTTCACTCCTCTCTTACGCTAATGACACGAAGAAGGGAGGGATCAGTGGAAAGCACCAAAGTTGAGCCTTTTTTCATCTGTCATCAATAGGAAGAGAAAAAGGCAGGAAGAAACGATAAAGCCGATAAATTAAAATGAGGTCGATAATTTTCATTTATCATGCGATTAATTGATTTATTGTTTATCGCAACAGGCTTAAATGTAGTATTCAGAAACCAAAATAAACTTTCTATTTGTACAGCCAGCCTATTTCCAGTGCTGTGAACTTCCCTCAAGGAGCGTTGATGACACACTTGGATTCAGATGCATCTCTAGATTTCTTCACTCTGTATCACCCAAGTTGTCACCCTTTGCATATTTGAACAAGCTTTTGCAGCAGGAGATAAGCAGAGGCAGCTTCTCAGACGTAGATATCCCCCTCAGCCCCACTAACTCGGCTTCTCAGTGAGCTGTTAGTCTGTCTTTCTTCCTGTCCTCTCCCTGCATAGATATTTCTGTGATTTCCTGCTGGCTCGAGCTTTATAAGAGTGTGATTATGAGTGGCAGGGACGATGAGGGCAGTAAGAGGGTAGGTGGTGGTGTTGGTGGTGGGGCGGGTGTTTTTGTAGTTTGGATGAGACGGAGTGAGCTGGGTGGTCAGGACGGGATGTGTCTCATATTTGCCACGTCGGTAGATGAAATTTCAGTCAGGCCCAGATGTGCACAAATGACAGTTTTCATGCCGTGTTGAAATCAGACATTAAAACTAAGAGGAATGCCTGCACGTACCGACACAATAGCCACCATTCTCTCTCTGCTTAGAGGGATTAGAAAGATGGCTACGTGTCGCCACTATTTTGTCTGGAGTGCAGCTGTTGTGCTTTCTTGGCCGATGTGTGTGTGTGTGTGTGTGTGTGGGAAAGAGCAGTTTGACAATCGATCGTTCTGTTGCTGCTGACCAGAGGCAGCCGTTACCATCTCTACCTTTCGCTCTCTCCTTCTCTCTCTCTGTTATCTACATGATAAATGGCTCATAAACTCTGTCACTTTCTCATTTTCTCACACGAGTTAACACCAACTGATGCCCGTCAGTCAAGCTGTCAGTGCAATGAGGTGTAAACTTTTACCTGAATGCAGACCCAGGATTAAGATGATTCTCTTTCCATTAAGGTTCAACTCAGCCTTTGAATCCAAGAGCAGGAATGACCCAGAAAGGAATTTCTAGCAAAAAAAAAAAAAAAAAAAAAAAAAAAAAAAAAAGGGAGTCAGCTGCTTAAAAAACAAAAACAGAAAAATATGTGATTTTCTGTTGAAGTAATTGGTCTCATAGGGAAGCTGTTGTTGGAAAAACAGGGATTACAGACACAGACAGTGTGTTCCAGTGGAAATGTTAAGCTTCAAGCTATGATTCTTTCAGCTAAAAGTTTTTTTTAAATGTTGCCTTACGGAGTGATTTAATTCAAAGTTCCTAGGATATTCCCAAATCTTTGAAGAGCTTTGTCTTGACTTGACCTTTCCTCAGGGCTTATTGAGCAGCTGGAGCCATCTATATTAGTATGAATGTTACTACTGAACATAAAGGCTTTTCAGTCATACAGGAAGATGTGGATTTGGGTCATTTTGAGGAAGACCCTTAATCGGCGTTATGTTTTATCATATATAGATGATCCATTAAAGAGTCATATCTGTGTTTACTATTATCACTGCAACCATTGACTACTTGTTGCCACTAGTAACAAAATAAATCTACGGAATTATAGTGAATTAAAGTTAAGAAAAACAAAAGTAATAATTCTGAGAGCTAGTATAGACAAATGTAGACATTTTATAGCTAAAATAACACTCATTCAAAACCAGACAAAGGTTACATGTTGTGTAAAGACACCTGTTTTCCTCCCTGTATGAACTTTTCCTTTTTTATGCCTGTTAGTATTTTCAAAACTTTTGGGCCATTCCTTCAGACAGAACTGGTAGAACTAAGTCAGGTTTGTAAGCCATCTTTGAAATAGGGCTATTTACAAAAAGGACAATGTGCAACGTCAACATAAACGTCACCATTACATATGTTGTACCAGATCGCAGCTTTACGCTAATAGACATCTACTCTCCATTGGCAGTTTGAGACAGGAAGAGAAAGCTTAGAAACGGATTCGAATCGAAATGAGAATTTTGCTCAGACACCTTTCAGCTCTGATCACTACTTTTTTAAAGATTTTTTTTGGTTCTAGTGGCCTTTATTTGATAGTTAATTGACAGGAAAGTGGGTAATGAGAGAAGGGGGAAGACATGCAGCAAAGGTCGCCAAGGCCGGGAATCGAACCTGCGTGCTTAACCCCTGTGCCACCACAGCACACCTATGATCACTACTTTTCTACAGTATCTGACTGATATCAGTTCTTTGCTGTGGCCACGCCAAAAATTGACCGAAGGTTTAATACAAACAATGTAATCTCATAGGTATAAGTTCTTATGATCCTTTAAAATGGGTGTAAACAGGTCCCTAATCTGATCCTGATATCAGATCTGGATCAGATTAGATTTATGCCTACACAAGAGTAATAAAAGTAACTGATTTTCTTGCATTACTGTGCTAATAATAATATTGACTATGAAATGTGTGTATATTGTGTAACATAAATTGCTTTGGTTATCCCCGCTCAAGAGAATCTTTCTAAAAACTGATGCCGTACATTTTTATTCGGTATTAAGATGCACCCCATAAAGGAGATAAATTGTGATAATGGAATGGAGCAGCACTGCAGCTGGAAGGGTAATGTAGAAAATTGTTGCCTGTAGAGTTAAACCAGTACGCTGAGCCTGAGAGCATGTAAGCGCACAGGTGTCCTTAAAGCCCTCTTTGCTTTAATGACACCACCAGCACCGCAGGAGCTGCTGTTTTGTGCTAATGCTGTCGTTCTGTGTTGGCCCAGATTTCTCTGATAATGCTCCAAAAGGTTCTTGTAATGTCAGGGGCTTTTGTTTTTATCAAATTTCTATAAAAAAAAAAGGTACTTGTAGAAAACTTTGAGGTATATTTGAGCTCATTATCCAGCTCCATTTTCTCTTTTCCAGTCATAAAAGCTGTGAAAAGGGGGAGGGGCTCATTATCTTTAGCTGTTTCAGTGATTGCTGCTTCTGCAGTATTTAGTGACTGCTTTTATGCATGGATATGAGAGTTCTTATTTACTCAGCATATGTTGCGGTTATGATTATTATTGAAGTTAAGTTCAAACAAAGAGGTATAAAAAGTCTATCCCAGCAGCTCTTGAAATTTGGTAGCTGCATCCTCGGATGAACAGCAGCATGTTTTACAAATTCTAATTAATTTTCAACAAGAACTGACAAAACGCAGGGCCATTAAAACACCAACCAGTATCTGTGCTGCATTAGGTGGTGGAGCAACCTTTAGCAACGGTAACTTGAAATCAGCAGTTATAATATTTATCAATGTTTGTTGCACAACAATACAGGTTTACCCTTCTTTTTACAAAGACTTTTGCAGAGACTCATTTGTGCACACTCTTACTTCTTTTGTCAGTCATTCTGTTATAGATTTGCTGCTGTGTTTGGAATTATTGTCTTGTTAAATGACAATAATTTAATTGAAGCTTTAGCAGCTGGACAGATGGCCTCACATTTCAATCTTGCATATTTTCTTATACAGAGTGGTCCACGGTGTGCCCAGCTCCTGGAAATAGTTTCCCTCTTGGCTTGCTTTTTGGTTCATGCAGACACAACTTAAGAAAGACAAATCTCTTTCTTAGGAATCCCAAGATGGGAATTTAAGATACTGATGAATTGCTTTGGAGCCTGCAATGCAAATTGTATTTCTTTTTTCTTTCTCTTTTTTAATTTTGCATTTTGTTGGAACACTGCGCAGTCTGCCCTTGGCTTGAACTTGGTATGCCCACTCCTGGGAAATTGGCCCCAGCATAAAATATTTTCCACTTGTCTGCAATCTCTTGCTGCAGAAAGATGAACTCCACATTGTTGAGCATGGCCTTACATCTGGCAGAGATTGATGGACAGCAGCAGTTGTTCTAAAATCACTGTTGGAGTTTCTCCTCTTGCATCATGTTGACACACTCCTGAATGTTCCAGACTGCTTCTTCTTCTTCTTCTTCTTCTTCTATAGAAACGCTCCAACTTGGTGAATTATCAGTTCATTCAGTTCATCAATACAGGTGAATCTCAGTTAATTGGAAAATTGTCAAAGAGCTCAATCATTTAATTAATTCAATCGTAAACATGATACTCTTATAGATTCATTCTACACCCATTTATGGTGAGCTATTAAGCGGAAGCAACTTGAGCAGGGTTACTATCTCAGCAGAGGCACCACATTAAAGCTGTAGTTTGTGAAAATAAAATACCCTGACCAAGTATTGAGTCCATATTCTGTTTAGTACATTGAGAATATTTGCAGGAGAACCACATTTCTGTATTTAAAAAAAAAAAAAAGTCTTTATCCTTTCTAGTATTCTTTTTTCTTTTTTTTTTCAAGCAACATTTGACATTGCGGCAGGATGGTTTTCATGCTACACTTTTGTGATCGATAATTACTAGAATACTAATGTTAGAGCACTGACTTGACATTGTAGTTAAGACATACTTGATAGTAGAATAAGGTTTGTTACCCTTTTTAGCTTATTTAAATTTTCTGACATCTTACGTTTCTATATATATATATATATATATATATATATATATATATATATATGTATAAATACACGATATAATCCAGTAAATTGTTACATTTAACTGGTTTTGGCTTTTGGGATAATTTTTATTTACATGTAGCTTATGCAGCTTCTTAACGGAGGTGTGTGTATTTCCCTCAGGAAAATGGCATCGAGGCAGTCTTCTCTCCTCATCCTTGCCCTGGTTGGACTCTCCCGTGGGATAGATTACCAGCAGCTATCAACCCCACCGAAGGTAATGTTGAATTTTGACCTCCTTGCTGCGCTCCATCTGATTTCTCTCCTCAAACTCTTTTCACTGCTCTTTTGGTTTCACAGTCTCTAGTGTTGCTCTCTGCTTATGTTAATCTTCTGAATTTTTAAACAGTAATAGTGATGCTGTTTTCACAAAGAGATACTTATGTAAATAACTGAGCCCATGCTTCCCTTAATTTTTTTTTTTTTTTTTTTTTTGTTCTTTTCTGATATCCTATAGTTACTGAATTTCGTAAATCGGAGCTTTACGAAAACCAGGTATTGTAACTCAGCCACTACACTGTGATGGGTACATCTCTGGTTTTGCAGCATTAACTTGCTGATAAATATTTATAGTGGGATCTAATTGTCTGTGAAAAAAAACAAAAGGACTTTAGCAGTAATGTGGTAGCATATTTAGTCCTAGGATATTTATGGTAAATTAATTTGCTTAGAAATAATACTAATGCTTTTAATTTTGTCCCTTCCAGTTATTTTTGAATTGTTTCCAAGAAGACTTTTGTGTCATGTTTATGTTATTGGGAGATTGTTTTCATGGTTACTTTCTCTCCCTATTCAGAAAAAGATGAAGGCAATAAAGAAATGTTATGCAGCTGTAATAAGTATTCTGATAATAATTATGCATTCTTGAAGTTATTTTCTGTAGTCAATGTACAAAAAATGGCCTCAGTTAAAATGTTGGCAGAAAGAGTTTATGCAATCAATGTGAATGTGCTATATCTGTTTTGGAATCATGAAAGTCTGTGCCAAAATTCTTGGCAATCCATGCAGGAAAACAAAGATCATTTGGCGAAAACTCAAGGCAAAGTCTGCAGAGGTTTAGTTTTGGGAACTCGAGGATCATGTCAAATAAAATGATACATTTCAAGTCCCTTAAGTCACTCTACTAAATTAATTATTCCTTTTGTTGATAACCTCTCCCTATTTGTGATTAAAAGGTGTTTTTGCTTTGTTTCTAGTCCCAAAACCTAGAAACGTCAGAAATCTAACAGCAAGTCCACTCACTTCTAAACACTCTGAATGATGTAAGAACTGTTCTGTAAGCAAAAAAATAATAAAAATGATTGCGAGCGACATAGTCGCTGCCCCAGTATTGTAACCGCTGTGCAATAAATGGTGCTATTGATAACCCTTCCTGCAGTATTATGACATCCAGCAGGAAGCCCCTGTGCTTCAGAGCTGTGTCATTCAAGGTTGCCAGAAAAATGCCCATTTTCCTTGGATATATGTATGTGGGCTATGACGTTTCTTTTCTCCAATAATGCATCTAAATTAATGTACAACAGCTTCCTCTTCTCTAGATATTTCCATGGTTTTATGATATGAAAGCATTTCTGTCTGCAAGTATGTGGGCAGATGTAAATTGCTCAGCCAAGAACAGAAGTAGAAGAGACTGTCCACCGATAACAGTAGAGAATGCTTAATATCACATGGCAGGGCAGGGGAGGGCAGACATATTGGCAAGTACATAGCAGGAAAACATATGTTGTGATAATTTCACCTATCACCTTCTAGTGAGGAATTATATGCATATTTGCACAAACTTGAGTCTAGTCTTACTCTTCTGTAAAAACACAGTGTGCGTATATGTATGTATGTTTTGTTGGGAGCAAATTGGAACTTGAGTCATTCTCCTCATTCGTGCTTACAAACCTCACAAATGAAACTGATAACGATTGAGTTTTTTTTTTTTTTTAGATTAAAAGCATTTTTCAGACATACTGTAGACCTGCTAATTTAATTTTGGGTCACGGTGGGCGATAAAACCTTTAACTTTTATCGCATTATTTTTTAGGTAACTGTATGGCTGTGATTGCTCGGCACAGCATTCATAAAGCCACAAGTACAAATATCGTTCTTGAAAAACATTCTCATCTTTAATAGTCTTCTTCAGGACACCGGTGATTTACAGTGTGATTTATATCACTAACCCACTCACATTAACTTTATTTGATCATATTTTACTGATGTTTTTTAGATGCTCTCGGGGAGCAAACGGTGGAGAAAATATTCAAAATAAAATTTCCAGCCTTCCTGTCAGTTTTTTTTTATTATTATTTAACATAATTAACTGAAATTTATCATACCAGTAAATGCCCACCTCTAGTTTTGGGAATTCACCAATTCAGATTTTTGTATCAAAAGTAAATCCAAATTATTTGCAGAAAAATCACCTGTAGGCAGGCTAGAGCTTATATAGCGTATTTCAGAGAGAAAACAGTTTGGGAAGCTGTAATACTGGGTTGCAATGCTACTTAACGCACTATTGGCTGGTTTTTGCAAACCAACCAATCTAAGAGCACCATTCATTTCCACTGGCACTGATTGGCTGTTTGTCCAAGAGCGGAAATAAGAAGACATTAGCTTCTGTGGTAGTGACTATCACTGCACAATGTGCCTGGAAGCCCTAAATATGTCTTACAGTTTAAACTTCCTTCAATAAAATCAGCTAAAACATTACCTGCAACACCACCAAACTCTGTAATCTAGGTTGTGTGATAAAAAACAAATACCAGAGTTATTGTAACAAGACAGCTCAATTCCTCCTACACACATGTTCATCTACACACATGATTTTAAATCTTGGATTTCAATGTTTTGATGCTTTAAGTTCTACTTTCATAAATCCAGAATAAGACTGGTTCCAGCTCATTTTTTATTTCAACAAAATTAAAAATTAAGCTTATAAATTCAAAAGTTGTATATTTTTTTGTCCTATGAAAGGCTTCTTCACAAAACAGATGAACAGCATTGCACACCGCGGTGCCATTATATAAAGCAGCCGGCTTTTTGTCTCCAGCATTTTATTTAATGCAGGGAGTGTGGGAGCTAAACATCAAGTGGAATGGGATGATGGATTGTGTGACAGTGGGAGATGGAGATAAGAGTGAGAGCAGGAGGAGCTACTAGAGTTATCAGGGAAACGAAGCGGGGGAAGAAAGGTGAAAGAGACAATGAGGCGTGAAAAAGGAGTGCAAGTGAGGGAATCGCATAGCTGTCATGCCTGAGACATGCAGGTATAATGTCCTTCAGGGTTGTTTTGGTATGAGTGGTTGGGTTTCCATTTCTTTGATAAAGAAACCTTAGCTTATGGAGATGGAGATCTGTCTTCTTTGTATGTTTTCTGTTTTGAATTAAGCAGAAATTTTGTGATTATTTTTTAAAATTAAATTCTGTCTTAAAAAGATTCTGAAGTATGAATGTTGCTATATTATATTTCTGTTATGTTTCATTGTGCAGACTTTGATGCATTGTCTAGACCAGTGTCTAGACAACACTGGTTTATTTGGTTAACCGTGTTAAAAAAGCTTTTGTAAACAACCTTCTGGGGTTGGTTTAAAAGTCTACGTCATCTGTGTCAAACTTGAGGCCTGGGTGCCAAATCTGGCCACCATAAGATTCTCTTCCCTATAGGGCCACGTAAATAGAAGCTTCGAAATAACAGTTGTGTGTTTTAAATATTATTTTATCCATCAAATCAAATAATATAAAGTACAAAATTGCATCACTGTGAAAAGATATTCAGTATTCTTTCATCTTAGGAAGCGCACATTGAATGCTTGGCCAGCTAATTATTATCTTAGCAGTTTGTTAACGAGTAGGTTTGTGGACTTTTGTGATCTTGATGTGGCCCGAAATGAAAATGTGTTTGACACCCATGCTCGATATAATTAAGGTTTGAACTGATTACCACTTTTTTTCTAGAGTTTTGCAAATGAACCGAACTGGCGTCTTAAGTTTCTTTTTCTTTATAGGAACTATTTCTGGATGTTATTCAAGTAGGAATATACAACACATTAACATAGCAGTCTCTAATTGCTTTCTGATTGCAAGTCTGTCTGGATATATGATGTCGGTGTTGCTCAACAGAAGTAAAACTAATTTTGACACGCTCATATTTAAGGTTCAGCATTGTAACATTATCTGTTTTGCTGATCAAAGCTACATCCAAAATTGAAATCGCAGTAATTTGTCTCATCTTAGCTTGAAAGTGTGCAAGTGTTTTTTTTTGTTTTGTTTTGTTTTGTTTTGTTTTTTCTTTCATATGGGTTTCATATGAAGCGGTCAATCTGTAGTTAAAGCCACAGGTTAAGGTCATACTTGACACTTATACATATTTATCTTCTCATCTTTTTTTTTGTTGTTTTTTTTCCTGATGATGTCTCTACAGTGAACAGACATTTGACAGTTATTTATTCCCTTCAGGTTTACAGCACCAAACAGCCGGCTGTGACTCCCAAATCACTTCTCTCATTCCCAATTAGCTGAACTCATTACAGCCGATAGATTGGAGATTCAAAGATATCCAGTAAACATGGGACCCGGCACAACAGGCAGCCAGCTTTGTTACTCCCAATTAGAAGGATAATTGGCACTTTATTAGTGCAATTCAAGTTCAAACACATCTAGATCCCCTTGGGGTTACAGCAGAGTTGCACCATTTGCGATAGTGTTTGAGTTGTGCCTATTTAAATTCAAAGCCTCAAGCCATCTGCGTAATAAGCTCCTTGTAAATGCCATGGCATGAATATTCATTTAGCTCCATAGTTTTTGCTTTGTTCAATAATCTCTGCTGAGGCCCTGCAGTGGGGATGTGGAGCAAGAAAAGAATTTGCCTCAACTGCGGACAGCTTTAAATGAAGTTTTCTTTTTTGGGAGGGAATTATAGTTTTTTTTTTATTTATTTATTACATTTTACAACAGTCGTAATTAATTACTCAACAGACATCTCTGCCTAAAGGAAAATGCAAAATTAAATCTTTTTTTTTCATGGTGTGAATGTCATTGAGCTGCAAATGAAAATCTCAGCAGCTCAATGATTGTTTAGTAGATATACACAGATCAGGTTTCTTGTGGCTAACCCTTTTTTTTGTTTTCTTTGGACCTGTTTATTCAAAACAGACTAATTCCTTTTTTTTTCTCGTATGACTTTAATACATACAATCTTCAAAATATGTTTGATAGCATCAAATTTAAATA